GTGTGTGTGTGTGTATATATATATATATATATATATATATATACATACATAAGTTAGAAAACTCACAAAAAAAAATAAAAATAAAATAAGAATATTGATGCTTAATAATATTTTTTTTAAATTAAAATCTGATATGAAATTAATCTAAAAGCAGTTTTAACAAAATTAAAAGAAAATTATTACTTGAAAATATTTGCAGAAAATACAGAATTTATAAACATACATATGTTTTATTTTAAACGAAAATGAAATGGGGAAATAAAATTTATTAAAATAGTGTTCTACAATTTGAGAATAATTCCTGTATCGTTGTTTTTATGAATATTACTGCCTTGTGGGAAATAGTTTTGCAACTCGTGAATAAGCTTTTAGCTTTAACGAATTTCTGCCGCATTCTTTTCCGCATCCATTTCTCGTTGTCCAACGTGATGAGAGATCGATACGCTTTCCACCGAAAACCGATACTATCGCTTTCAAGACCTGATCTTTCAAGACATGATCTTTTTTAACCTAAAGAGTTATGGTATTTTTTTTAACTTGCCGGAAGTACCGCATGAGTACTGCGGTAAGCTGCATAAATATGTAGGCATTCTGTACATGGCAGTGAGTGTGATAAGACTATTCTGACGCAAGTTGAGCCGCAAATGCACTCTCTTCTGTCATGACTAAACAATGTAAATGCGGTTTAGTGTGTATGAACGAATCGACGTTTCGACCTCAGCTATCCTACGTCAATGCTATGTAATACTGTGCAGAACTGAATACAATTTCATTTGAATAGTATACGACAAGAGATAAGAATGACAAGAATTTTGATAGAATATTCCAAATAAAGATATTTCTAAATCATGAATTTTGCCGAATTAATTCCTAATAATTTATTTTATGTGCAAACACGTAAAATTTTTACCGATACTTATTGTCTATATTTACAAAATATATTTACAATATATCAATAATTATTATCTCTTATAAATAATATCTCGAAAATTAATAAATATGTAATAAGCATAAACAAATAATTTCCGAAACAAATTGTGAAAGAATTATTTAATAAGAACAGTAAATCAGTAATATAAAATATGTAAATTTATTAAGCAAAAATAATTATTTATGTAAATTGCAAATTTTCAATGAAATATTTTGACATATTTTATAATGCAGTAAAAAGGGATTATTTTATTTTCTAAAGGTCTTGAATCTTGATCAGAATCACTTCCGCGTATAATCAAACTGCTGCGTAACTGTCTTATCTAAATAAAGCTCCCTAGGGGTTTAGTATGTGTGCAGGCAAATCGAAGCTTTGACCTCGACTACCTTACGTCACGCAATCGAAACTTTACGTAGTAATTCAGAATAAAGAAGTCGCTAGAGGTAATTCACGTTCAGCGGAAACTCGTAATTGATGCAATGTGTTGTAAGTCGATATCCCAGCTGCTTTTTTTTTTTCCCGCTCTCTGCGTACAATGTACACCTGGCTGTATTGACAGTATATCGACTGGCAGCGTCAATCTTCCTGATTATTACGTCAAGTCATATCAAAATATCTCTCATGTAGTAATTTAGAATAAGGAAGTCGGTTCATTAAGCGCGAGAGACTCGATGATCGATCGTTCCCTGATTACTTCGGCCACGGCTTCGCGCTGAACTTCGAGAACTGTTACAGCCACGTTTTAACACAGGGGAGAGAATGATAATTTCGCGACCTTTATCCGCTCTGAATTCATCGATAAGAGAGGGGCGGAATTTAACGGGCGAAATGATCGCAGGAGAAATCGAGTTAAGTGCTCGACTCAATCACACCTACGCTTCTTACTGCTGTCTAATTAGCCCCGGCGAAATGCTCTTGTGTTTTCCACAGGCTACCTGCCCATCGAATATAGCCGTATCTGCGTACTATAATCCACTGCATCACTTATTCGTATTAATTACGTATATTAATCATGCACTTTCTCGGATAAATACTGTTTCACGGGTGTTTCATAGGTTCTTATCCATTGTAATATGCATAAATACTTTTATTGATTTACATCAGAAACTTGTTATTTTGTTCTTGCCACTCATTTCTTCGACTGCACCGAGTTCTCTTTCGATGGCGCAATTTTCTTTTGATCGATCTTTTATTTTTACCGCCGGTCGAACCCGTTGCCGTTGCGGCACATACATCAGAGAACAACTGATGCGATTGTGTATTGAATCCGTAATGTTTTCGTTGAAAATAAGCGAGCTTTTGGGATTTTATTTCGGTTACTTCCTCAAATTGTTCGAAATATTTATACATGTCCACACATTTGTGTTATAATACATTTTTCTTTCTATTTTTAACCAGTTGTTTAACAATTATCGGTATTTTTAAAGGATTTAATACAATTTTTTTATCGCGCAAGAATTTCTGATGTAAATAATATTTTTTAATTAACATTTGTGAAGTATCGTACAGAATTTAAGATATTAATATCCCTCTGCATTTATTACCGATACGATTTATAATTCGAATTATTTCCGATATCCCGTGACGATGTTCGTCATACTTGACTTTGCATCCTCGGCCGAGTCGATACAAGAATAGCGAATAAAATTGATTGCACCTGCACTATTACCGCTACGAATTACTAATCAGGTATCGTAACAGGGAGCAATATTTATCCCAATGTAAAACGAATGTCCGCGAGCCACGTAATCGATGTGAATTTCTGGCAATCGGATTGCATGTACTTTCGTTCATTTGTCAAAGCTATAAATAAAGCCGTTAAAATTCTGCAAGCTCCCGTAAATCCTGCCACGATTTATCGCGTCGTTTTATCACGTTGTTTATTATTGCTCTAAGAAAACGCGTGCGATAAACGCGATACATAAACATAGCCAGTTTACTTGTATTTTTTATTAATCAACTTTGAATATAAATCTATTCATTATCCGCATAATCGGGTTGTAGTATCTTTTTATTTTATATAAAAAGAAAATTTCCTATATACTATAAATAATACATGATAATAATATTGTATATAATTTAATTTGATTTATTTAATTTTATGAACATCGTAACTGTAAGAGTTCTATTATTAGATAAAAGTTGAGTTTGTCGTTGACGATTTAAATCTGACCTCAGTTTCATTGATTGTTTCTCTCCTTCTAAAAGTCGAAGTAAATAGGAGAATACAAGCGATAAGTTAAATTACGATTATTAAATTACGGAAGTTAGCCGATACTGATGAAACTGGCCATGAACAACGCAAAGGAAAACGAAATTGAGGTTAATAATAATTTCATTCTGTGTGGATTGGCTTCTATTCTTTTGCGAAAGAAAACAGGTTGCTTCCGATAAATTCTTAGTGGCTCGTTTTCTGCCAAATACTGCCAAGAGAGAGAGATCCTTAAATATTACGATAAATTATTTAACGTATACTTCGCACATGTGTATTAATATATACATGTATCTTCTTTCTTCGTACTCTCGCACGAGCTTTCGAGCTCGCCTTTTTCCAACGTCGAGCACATATAAAGCCAGGAACACGAAGCGCTGATTGGCAGGACGGATAAAAATGTGCTAAAGAAATGCGCACGGCGAAAACAAAAAAGGTGATGACAGTGGCGTGGGTCAACCTGTGAGCAAGCCAAATGAAGCGTAAGAGAGGGAGGTACGTGTGGTGGGTGTGTACACATCGATACATTTATTAAATACAACTAATACAAACTAATAAAGGCCGTGAAGAGCCTTGGGTACGAACTCGGCGCGTATTCTCATTTAATTTCTCTTGTTCGAGAAACTAAAATCGATCGTCTTCGAGTGAGTCCACCAATTGGCAACATCCAAAGCACACACACACAGCGTGTCAGCAATAACATTGTTTTATTTGCATGAATACATATACAGGATACACCGAAAATCGTGCGCTTTCTCACGCTGCTAAACATTTTTTTTTCTTACAAGTTTGAAGACACCTTTCCAAAATTTTGTAGCACTTTTAGTTTTAAGAAAATAAATATTTTATATATTTACAAAATTCTACATATTTTAATTATCGGATTTTGAATTATGGTAAATAAAAAAAATTTAATAAAAGTTACATATAAAGATTAAATTAAAAAGTTATGTATAACGATAAATAATTGAGGAATAAGTTTCATTATCTGTGCGAATCTCTACTGTGCAATACAATGAAATTTTGAAATTTTGTAAATTTTCAAATTTTTGTGATTTTTCTTGTTGATTTATCTTTATTGAGTAAAATTCCAAGATTTTTTTGATATGATCGAAGCGAAAAGCGTGCGACCTCCGACACCCTTTATACATATTGAAGTGCAAAGTACGATGATGGCATACATTAGAGGATTGTTTTCCTGGTTGTTCGACGGTTGCGAGGTCATGGAGCGTCTCGGTCGCCATAGAGCCAGCCTGGCGAAGCCGTACTTGGTCATGGCCGCGCAGAAGTCCGCCCTCGATTGCCTTCGACTCCAGTTTCTCCGAAATCCCCCTTTTCGATCAACCCGTGCCCGAGGTACCGAAGCGATGAATCAGCTCCGACATCCTTTGACGGGCGCGCCGATAATCCGCGTTCGCGACGATTCGCGATTACGATCCACACGGCGGCGATTCATCTCTTGAGCGCGTGAACGATCATGCGGCGCGTCTTCTCGATGCACCTTCGCAGAATATTACGGAACGACATGATCGAATTGTCTCTGTGAGCTGCGCATATAGTACAGCGTTGTACTATCGAGAGTAAACGTTGAGCGTTGAATGACGACTGCGACGATCGTCAGGATTTCGATCGCCGAAGAAACATTGAGCCTTTCCTGTTACGTCATACTATCGTTTTTTTCTGTGTAAGCCGCTGCTGCTGCTGCTGCTGCTGCTGCTGTCGCCACTCCGGTAGATAGATGGTTTCGGCACGTTCGAAATTATGTATTCGGGACACGCACGCACATGCAAGCGGCGAGAAACAGGAGCACCGTGCTGACCCACCGTCCCGACTTTGGCGTCGGGACCTCCCCGATTTAGAGGGGCGAGATTTAGGGTTGTTTTCCCTCCGGCGGCGCACTCTCCATCGCCGAGTCCGGAAACAAACAGGCGGTCGATCGCAGGCGTGACAGGGACGCGAGTTTCGTTGCTCGAACGATTTATGTTGGGCGAAAACTTCCAAAAGTCGATGTCGGTCCTTCGGCCGACTCGGCACCACGGTGGCAGTCGGTGGAATTGGACGGGGGGGGAGGGGGGCGGGAGGGAGATTTGCTAATTGCAGCTTGATCACGCAGAGACGGAAATGATTCGGTCTCCTCGGTTTCGCGACGAGCGGTCGTCGTAAATAAGCGATCAGAAAGTAGTGGACGTAGCAAAAATATCGAAAAAGTCGCTCTCTGCTTTCTATCTTTTCCCCCCCCCCTTCCAGCTGAAGTCCCCGCAGCGGACGATGCTTATGAACGAACACTACGCGGTAACATGATAAGTATATTAAGCTCTGATTAATTAACAGCACAGCCGAATTCGAGCGGTAATAAAAAATCCGACGAAGCGCGCGCTCGCGCGTTTTCACGCATGCGTTAAGCTCTGATTTAAATAGCAGCACAGCCGATTTTTCGATTATATAATAATAAAAACGACCGGTCTCTTCTCTCTCTCTCTCTCTCTCTCTCTCTCTCTCTCTCTCTTTCCTTTCTCTCTATCTCTTTTTGCCTCTTTGGGTCTCCGCGTTTCTCCTTCACCTCCGATGTTCAGTTCGCGCGCGAAATCTTCGTTCTCGCGAGAAGAGATCCTCCTCTCTCCTTTCCTCGCGTACTGCTCAGTACTTGTTCTCTCTTACTTTCGTGCCGGCCTTACGCTCGACTGCGACTCGCCGATCTCGCGCGACGATATCACGCCGATGGACGAAGCGCGACTTTATCGCGAATACGCGGCAAAACTTTGATATGTGTGTCGCTTTCCCGAGTGCTTCGCGACGCCGTTGAAGATATAGGCGTCCCGGTAGTCAAGGCACTGGACATGCGCATCGAATACGAGAGCCGTACTTGTACTTCGTATTCTCTCTCGTCGAGCTTGCGAAAGATTCGGCGAACACGGCGCGGATAAAAGCCGCTTGTGCTTTCGCGCGAGATATATCTCGGAGGAACCCTCTCGCCTTCTGGACCGATCCGTTCGAATCTCTTCCTCGAGAGTGAATTTCGTTGTATCTTTCTTCGTCTATCTATTTTTTTATTATTTTTAGCGGCGACCTTTCTATCGTTCACGATTTTATTCCTCTCACCTAGAATTGTAAAAATAAACGGCTACCGACACCATTATCGAATTCCGTGATATTCTCAATTGATCGTATTGTCTCTCAGACTTTCTCCCGTTAGATGCTCGTCCTTGGATAAGGCGCATGTATGTCCCTCTTGGTTTTATTAATCTTTATCACAACTCTAGAGATGAACGATTATCGATATTACCTCCCCGGATGTCCTTAGCCGATCATATCGCTGTCAAATTTTCCAATTTTCTTCGGAGTTACTATCTTTTATTAAATTCTGATAACAAGAGAAAGGCGAACGAGGCGGTGGTGTCTCCAAATGACAAACTGAAAATCGTAATAATGATAAGAAACGATAACAATTTCGTACGACCTCCAACAATTCTCGCGATAGCTGTCGATGCTAATATGCTTTACAGTTGCGTGCGTTAAACTCGGTCGCGCACGTCACGCCTTTTTCTAGCTCTATTGACGCGCGTTCTCGCTCTGAATACAAAACTCCTTTCCGTAGAAAAAGTCCGCGAATCGATCGAGGCTCGCTTTATCGCTCGCGCGCAATCCGCCCGGCCCGATTAGCATAAAATCAAGAAGCTCGATCTAGAACAGGGTGAGCAAAGGATTCCGTTTGCGGGCGATAGCGTTAGTATCTATATGCGATATACCCGGTTGCCGTATGTGCGCCTCGTGCGAGCGTGAACTGTCCTTATTACGTCGAGGAGTCGTCGCCGTCGCCGTCGCGGCGCGTTTCGGAAAGCGGAATTTTCTACGTTCTCGGGCGATGTATCGATCGGCCGGCTCGCCGTCCACGAGTCGCGACGAATCGAGCAAAAAGCGAGTCCTCTTCCGTGCGATCGCCATCGGCGCGCAATGTTACATCGCGGTAAAATTAGAACGCGAGCGTCATTGACTGCCGGTATCGAGCCGCCATTGCCGGCGTCGAACGGCGTTCTCCAAGTGTGCTGTGTGCACTCGGTGGTGCCAGTCGCTAATGGCATATAGATAGCTAGGCCCTTTGCGATTATGGGTATCCCCTCGGGCACTCGTGTTCTACAGGATGGTACCACGACCCGTGGCGGAATGGAGCGAGTAAATCGAGATTATTCTCGGACGGCCGGAAATAAATGTATCCTCGGGCATCGCGCGGGGATCAAGGACGACCAATCTCCGCTTCCTTCGCCAGTCGGACTTTTCCCGGTCTCGGATTTTCCCTGAGCCGCGAATCCCTCACGTACGCGACAGGCGTTCGTATCGTATCTTTCGGTCGGTCGGTCGGTCGGTCCGTCGGTAGTGCACGTGAACCCGAAGGTCGTGCTCCCTCCGAATCGATTGAACACCCTACGCCTGGTGTTCCGGGGGACCGCCAGTCTGTCGGTACCGACGATCGGTCAGCCTCCTCTTCCGGATCGATGGCGCGTCCGACGCGTCCGACCTCAGGAACGCCGACGTCGACGCCGTGGTTCTCCTTGACCGAATCACGAATGGCCGGGCGATCGAATGGCGAAATCCGATCTCGCCGCACCTCTCACGAGTCCTCCATCTCATGTTACGGAAGATACCACGCAGGATCAGTAGAAAATACTGTTGTTCATCTGTATCATCTTGCTCGTCGTGTCATGCATTATTCTTCACTCTCTATGTGAGTCCTGTTTGGATGCAGCGTCCAATGTGTGAATTAACGAAATCATTATTCTCATTTTACGAATGATATCATCTGTTCTGAATCTTGGCTAATGAAACGTGAGGAAATAAACCTTCACATTTATTTTCCGATACATTCAACATCTGCTGTCTACTCTCGTACCTTGTATCATTGTTCAATCTGCGTGCTATCTTTCCGATAAAATTTCTGGCAGAATCCTAGAATGCGGTTCTTTCATCGCTGAATTCATTTCTGGGAAACTTCATCTTCGGAAACTTCTTTTAGATGCGGTAAGCCGTATACCCTTGAAACTCTCGCGATCCTTTTTCAATGGACGATCAAAGCTCGGGACCCTCGCAATCCCCTGGAGAACGATACTAAGGCTCTCGCGATCCTTTCTGCGGACCATACAACAAGCCTCTCTCGCTTGCCAGATTCTTACGGCTTTCTCGTCAGCTGACAGTGCTCACACCGATTTGCAGACCGTGCTCACAGAGAAACGCGTTCATGTTGCACGAATTGATCACTCCCGAACGGCCCTCTCTAGGTTGACGAATGAGAATCTCTCGTCCTCACATATCCGCGGTCTCCTCCATGAACAGAGGGACGTCCTCCTGTCTACCAAACGCGCGTTTATCTCCCGCTAACCTATGACGAATTCCCTGATGTATACACAAAAGTATACACGCGCTCGTCGAGAGCTCGTCGCTCTCCTCCGCGCCTCCTTTCGTTATCGAATGGCCACGCCAGCGCGCATACTCCGTCCCCGTTCAACCCTCGCCGCGCTCGCCGCTTGCTGCCGCCAACCCCCGGTCGCGCGCACCCCAGCCAACTCTACGGTTCCCGCTGCGATCTTTATATATAGCTCTTCCGTTTACGGAACACAAAAAGAGGAAGAATGGTCGTCGCGAAAATAAAACGACGGCGGACGGGCCACCGTCACCGGGAGGAATCGAAAGGAGGCTGCCGTTCGATGGCGTCATCTTCATTCCTGCCGTCTTGGAGATCTACCGCCGCACGATTACGCATTAAGTCGATTTCGCGCGGATTGTCGGAAGCAACATTTCTCTCGTGCGAGGTCGATTGATCTTTGATCGCACGAAAAAAGCTTCTACTTCTTATATACATATACATTTATCCATCGCGCGATGTTTTGTATACCGTTTGATGTTGCTAACATGCGAAACTGTTCTTACTTAGTCCGTATTTTGTGCGCAGCATGTATCTCAAATCGATTTTGTATGATGAAATGCAAATAGTAGAACGTTAAACGCGGCATAAATATTTAAATATTATCTCGATTTTGTTTACAATATTTTTATGGAAATATTATACTTGGCCATTTTTATGTCTACTTAAAAATATATTTATTAATTAGAAACGATATTGCACTATTAACTTTCTTATCAATATATTTCAATTTTCGCGATATTAATCTCTTTCAATTAATATATCGTTAATGAGTTTATTTAAATTAACTTAATTTTAATTGGGCAACTATTCATTTTGTAATTATATTTTTTACTATTGTCTGTGTCGAAAATGAAAACGTTTATCACGCGACGCATTCATTTGCGTGCGAAGAACATATTTATACAATTTTAATATAAAATTATCAATTCGTGTGAAAGTAACTTATTCCTAATTATTACTAGTTATACAAATATAACTCTGATATATCTATCTATATATCGATTTTCTTGCTAGTTTATTGCACAGCTTTGTTTTCGAAGGTCTCTCTAAAAGGTTGAAAAATCACATATACAAGTTTTTGCAGTCATGATTTCTTGTGCAACTCCAAGTTCTGCGTCATCTAAATGCGTCATCTAAATGCTTCACTCCGGTAAAAATAACACAATTTTGGTTTAGATACTCGAATCAATTATCTGTGTGATTTTAATATTATTTACAAAGAAAGCACAAAAAAAGCACGAAATAGCACAAAAAAGTCTCGATTAAATATTTTACGCTGTTCACGTGTTTC